AGCTGAGATTATTCCCGTTAATCTGGTCTAACACATTAATAGGTTCTTAAATATTAAGATCCCCTGAGACACAGTGTCGTGAAAAAAAAAAGTGGGGCTTAACAGGTTAATGCAGACACATCATACTCAGTGAGAGGACTCTGTATTCTCTATGACTCAGCCTATCATAACAACCTAGTGAGGCTGTCCAACAACATCATCTCTGACCCAAACCATGTTTTGAACAGTGAATATGAACTGCTACCATCTAAATCGGAGATACAGGGTCCCACCATTCAATAAGGTCAGACTGAAGCACTCCTTTGTGCATCACTCAATCCTCTCAGTAAATACAGAGCTGATCCCAGATCAGATGCACGCTGAAGGCTCTTTGAGCAGCTTTTCTCTCACTGATTGTGCTGTTATGTTAAATGTTTGTTATTTGTGTTTCATGTATTTGTGTCTGGATATTTGTCTGTTGATGTTGGACATGGAGCTGCTGTGACGCAAGTCAAATTTCAGACTTGATCTGACAAATAAAGTAATATCGTATCATTTCGTGATGCTGACAGAAAGATGTTTCTGTGCTTGGTCCACAGCCTCGCAGACACAAGGTGGGCATCGAGAACATGGCTCTGCAGCCTTGAACCCCCCCCGCCCCCCAGCTGCATCCGGCACACACCACATGAGTACGGGTGGAACCAGAAGCATGGCCTCTGTCAACGTGCACACCAAATGAATACTTTTTTTTGAATGAATAACACTCTGCAGATCTTCCGTCAAAAACGGAAAACGTATCTATTTCAACTGTATCATGGCAATGAAGTTATTGCTGAAAACCCCAAAAAGCCAAAAGCCCAAAGCCCAAAAACCCAAGCACTTGTTGAGTTCATGAAGGCCGTGTAACTGATTCACCAGCACTCACTATGCTAGGATTTAGTTTGAAGTGAATATATCTGCACTTTCCTTGTTGTTCGGAGTTTGATTCTTTATGGTTTTTGCACCTATCGGAAGTCGCTTTGGATGAAAGCGTCAGCTAAATGAAATGGAATGTAACACATCTGTAAAACTAATAATAAAAGGATCAACTTTGCTCTATTCTGTGTTGGTGTGTGTCTCATCAGGCTGTGTTCATTCATGAGTACTCGTTGGAGCAAACAGGAGCAGACATGTGTCCAGTCCAAAGTGCACAGAACCCCATGGAACACTGATCCCAGTGCTGCCTCTCTGTGGTCAGACCCACCCTGTGTCCTTTAACCCATGGAGGTGTTTCAGAGGTTTTCAGCACAACATTCATGCACTCCTTTAAGCCATCATGTGACCTCACATTGGTTGTGTGCACGCAGCAATCTGTGATAGGACTGAGCTCCTCACACTGGACCAATTGCTCCTCACTACAGAAGCCCTGTGAAAGTGAGACACAGATTCTGGTGATCCAATGGCTAGCTGTGATGCTTTCCTCTTGTATGTATGACTGAAGAACAGATGACAAAAAGTTTTTACAGGACACATTTGAAATGGTCAGGCTTTTGTTTGTCTGTTGTTATTATTCTCAATACGACCACAAGAGGTGTGTTCTACTAAATAAATAATCATTTATCATTTCCCCCTGCAAAAGGTACATATATGATTTGTTAGCATGTACTGTAACATTAAGCATGTCTTTCTTTTGGGTGTAAATGTTTGCAACTTGGAGCCATTTCAGCCTTTTTTGCCTTTTTTGGCAATAGCTTTTTCCATTAAAGTCATACACACAAGAGATCGTTGTTTCCTTTAGATCAAAAGGATGTCACTTGTTCTTCCTTGGCTCTCAGGGCTTCCGTCAGATGACCTGCATTATCCCAATTGAAACTAAAACAGTATGCTTGACTTCTGAGGAACATGTCTATGGAAGCCCTCGGTGGTCAATATGGAATCATGCTAATCAGAATGAATGCAGACACATGCATCACTAAACAACATCAATGAAATCAATAAGTCAATAACATGTCAGGCAGTGGGACAGTAGTGCTCCTAATGATAACTGTATAGCCACATGCTGACTGCTGCATGTTCTATGTTATAAACACACCCGTCTCCATCAGGAACACGACACGCACGGAAAGGATCAAGAGTTCAAACTGGACAGGTTATCCTTTAGAATCTTTTTATTGATATTATGATAGGCAGCTTTTTAAGATAGTTTAACACTTACTGGAATGAAGTCATTTGTTCATGATTGGATCAGTGTTCACAGGGAATCAACAACATCAAGTGCACAACATGTGAAATCAACAGAAACAAAGATGACATCACACAGGTAGCTTATCATTGAAACAAACAGGAATGTGAGTTGTGTCAGTTCCACCAAGTGGGGCAATAATCAATCATCAAAAAATCCAACAATGACATGCTGGAAAAACAAATATAAAAGAACTTAAGGATATGCTGACATGAGATGTTTAACATCAGTGTCTGAGGGGGGCTTTGGAGCTGCCCCTCTGAGGACTGATCTACTCTATCATCTGTCTACAACATATTCAACACCATCAATACTCACACACACTATGACCCTCCATCCCCTCAGATAACACTTTCTATTGCAACACTCTGCATTCCTCACGTTAGACACCCAGTGCTTTAATCATGGACTCAATTGACTAACATCACAGCTGGGTGTACTGGAGATGACTGATTGTTTGTATCCATAAAGTCGGGGGACTTGCAGACAGAACACATCTGTGCTGTAGCGGCTGAAACATCCTGACTGAGTCTGTCATTTATGTTACAGAAAACTCAAAAAAATCTTTTGATTAATCCTCATTCCAAGTGAATGCCCACTTTGACCCTTTGAGTTCCTGACACACACTGTTTATTAGGAGTTAGTGGTCTACAAATACAAACTAAAGGCATTTTCAAAGCTGCATCATCTAGGCTCTGTCACAAAGTCCTTCTCAGCCGTTTGTTGGTGGTGATCCAGTCTGAAGCGGATCATATACAAGCATGCTCTTCAAGTGTGAGCTGAAAGGCTTCTGTAGATGGGGAGCCTTGTGTTCTTGATGTGAGTGAGCAACAGCTGATGTTAGCAGCATGAACACACTTTGGCTTTTTGATATTTGGACAGACAGAAGCTTCTTCTTCTTCTAACTCCCACTTCATAATATGTGACCGCTGAGAGGTGACAATGTTCTCATGATGTTTAGTGAAGCATTTACACACAGTTTAGTGCCTCATCCATAGACTTAGACCAGAGCTGGACCATGAGAGCTCACCCACAGATAACTCATGATAACACCTGGCTTAGTATTAATAGCCTGATAGTTTTGGGTTGTGACATTGGTGGAGGGCCTTTTCAAGAGAGTACCATTATATTATAAAATCAAACAAAAATTGACCTCCTAGAACTGCTTTGTGTTCCCGCCCTGAGTGCTGCACACAGTGACACAGCTAGGAGGAGGAATACTCACTCACACATCATTATAAATTCATTCTAACAACAATCTCATTCATGCTTCCATTCATTCATTCATTGAGATGTTCCAGTCAGTGCTGTGAGAGCGCACACACACACACACACACACACACACACACACACACACACACACACACACACACACACACACACACACACACACACACACACACAAATTTCAGTCAGCCTGGCTAACACCGTGTGAATATTGATATCTGTGGGTTTGATTGGCTCCTTCACTGACCATGCAACACTTGAAGCTGAATGAATGCATGATATATATATATATATATATATATGTGTATATGTACTGTGTATAACAAAGAAAGAGGTCGGCACGAAGAGGCTCAGAACGGCCTGTAGTTCCAGAAGCTGGAGAAGACAGAGATCTGCAGGAGGAGAGACAGAGCGGCTCAGTCAGAGGAGGGCTCCCTTACACAGAGTAGTCACAGGTGGAGCACCTCTACAGCCAGGGTCTCTCCTGGACACATCAGCACTGTATTTTTTAATCAGAAAGCTACAAGCTGGTAAACATCAAAACCTGATGGCTAGAAGTTACCTATGAGGATGTTCATTGAATTTCAGACAGACACACCCTGTCGTCGTCTTTGTTCTCAACTGCAACTACAAAGGAACTTTAACAAGGGATTCAGAGTGAGGGAACCCTCCCTTTACCTTCACAACTCTGTTTGTAATAGAGTAACACAGGTGAGTCATGTGACCCTGACTGGCTCGTGGTGCAGGACACTCACCTTGTCCTTTAGCTGCTGGCAGAGCTGCAGAGAGATAGTGAAGAACACCAGCGTGTCGTTCAGCCACGGTACCACACACTCCACCTTGTGGACGTGGCTCACCTCGAAGCGGTTGTTGTTGAGCTCACTGTGGAGGAGAGGGAGAGGACCAAGGAGACGTTAGAGGAACCTTAAACAGAGACACAGACAGACAGAGACACAGACAGACAGAGACACAGACAGACAGAGACACAGAGAGACACTGACAGACAGAGACACAGACAGACAGAAACACAGAGAGAGAGACAGACAGACAGACAGACACAGACAGACAGAGACACAGCCAGAGACACAGAGACACAGACAGACATAAACACAGAGAGACAGAGAGACAGACACAGAGAGACAGAGACACAGACAGACACAGACAGACAGAGAGACAGACACAGAGACACAGACAGACAGAGACACAGACAGACAGAAACACAGAGAGACACAGACAGAGACACAGACAGAGACAGACAGACACAGACAGACAGAGAGACAGACAGACAGAGACACAGACAGACAGAGACACAGACAGACAGAAACACAGAGAGAGAGACAGACAGACAGACAGAGAGACACAGACAGACAGAGACACAGACAGACAGAGACACAGACAGACAGAAACACAGAGAGACACAGACAGAGACACAGACAGAGACAGACAGACACAGACAGACAGAGAGACAGACAGACAGAGACACAGACAGACAGAGACACAGACAGACACAGACAGACAGAGAGACAGACAGACAGAGACACAGACAGACAGAGACACAGACAGACAGAAACACAGAGAGAGAGACAGACAGACAGACAGAGAGACACAGACAGACAGAGACACAGCCAGAGACACAGAGACACAGACAGACATAAACACAGAGAGACAGAGAGACAGACACAGAGAGACAGAGACACAGACAGACACAGACAGACAGAGAGACAGACACAGAGACAC